GATTGACCGTCACGTTATAACGCCCCAACGGCTGAAAGGGTGAGCATGTTTGGTGGGACGGGGATTCGAACCCGCGACCCTCAGATTGCGAGACGAGCGCCTTATCCGGGCCATGCCGGGCCCCGCCCACTCTAATGGATTGACTGTCACGCTTATGACACAAACAAAGCTTAAAGTGTGGGGAGTATTTTTGTGGTATTGCACGGACCTGCAGCCGGCTAAAATGATGGAGTTATTTCTAAATCTAGTTAGTGCACTAAGATATCTGTGTTTTTATTCTAAGATTAATCGCTAGGCAATCTCATGAAACCCGTAAATTGTGTTAGTCATATTACCTGTTTTTAATATAATATTTTCTTTAAAAATAAAAAAGCAAGTATATTTTTCATGCAAGGGTTTTATTTTGTTTTCAATTGGTATAATATTTGTTTAAATATTTCAGAAAATAAATGTGACAAAACAAGTAAAAAACAGCATCAGTTTTTGTTAATGTTTATGCATATATTGTTCTTAAAACTAATTGTCATAGTTATTTTCAAGCAACAATTTTCTTTTATTTATTTATTTTTTTGTATTTTTGAATAATGTAGTAGATGTATGTCTAGAAAAAAGTAAAATGTTTCGTGTGTTTCTTTTTTTTTCATTTTAACATTTCTGTTATTTTCTCTTATTATTTCAACCGAGGATTAACTTGCTCTTTAATACCAGTTTCGGTAAAACTGAATTATGCCGATCAGTGTTATTATGATAATAAATGAAGACATCCATGTTTCATAATATTTTTTTCTATGTATAGCTTTATATGTGCAATAAATAATTTATAGAGCTATTAATCGCTATCATCACTTTCATCAATGAGTGTAGTTTCGTCCAACAAGAGATTTTTACAGAATTGTTCCTCCTCCTCCTCATCAGACACATCATTACCCAATGTATCTTGTAAAATGTGTTTCTAGTGGCACTGGTAATACAGGTGTGATTGTGTAGCATCCACCATATTTACATGGTGCAGTTACAGACCATGGTAGAACATCTGCACTGCTCAAGGATTAAACTACTAACTCTCTCAAAACAAATATGCAGATTATCTTATCATGTTCATTGTAGCAAGATGATATGAACTCACAACAGCTGAGCCAACATCAGTTTCTGAACTATACACTGAACATTTACTAAATGTTTCTCTATTGTCTAGTAAAATGAATGACAATTTATCAGAATAAGACTTTTCGAACTTTTTATTCTCGCTCATAAAATCAGCGTTTGAAAGGACCGAGTCTTCTAACTTGGTTATATACATCTGAGAAAGATTATTTAGTTTCACAACTGCATTTCTCCTGTTACATTCTTATCAACAAGTTTAAACATATTGTGGAATGCTTCGTTGTGGGTTTATTCTAACTGTAACTGCCTTTACTTTCTCATTATCATTTCCTCAACTACATGGAACCTGAACATACTTTGTTCGACAGAAAAACTGTGCTTCATATGCAAATATATCAAAGCCTCGTACTCTCTTTAACAAACTTCCATCGCCCTTTTACAGTACGATATTGACAATATTGAAATGCAGGCGCCCTCTCGTGTTTGAGTTAAGATCAACCTGTGGTTTCACTCCGATTAAAATTAATATATATATTGCATACAGATGAAGGATTTGAGATTCATCCAGCTAGAGTTAAAAATGATGTTGTGTGTGTGAATATTTAGTTACGCAAATAAATGGATGAGTAAGAACTTGTGAACTTACTGATTCGAACCCTGAACAGTAAAATGGGAAAGGAAAAGACGGGGGGTAATTCCCGCGTAATTGTGTATGCATGTACATATATATATATATAAGATTGTGAACGTTTTATGTTGTACTTATATATATATATATATATATATATATATATATATAATATTGAATTTAGAAATGTTGCATTTATAACACAACTAAACAAAGACTGTGATTTGTGAAACGATATCAGAAAGAAACACAGTCGAGACTGAATGCAATCAACATTCTTGAATGTAATCAGGAAAGGGAGATGTGTTGTGAAGTTAGGTGTAAGGAATATCAGTTGAAGTTGAGAGACATGAGAAAGCGGCAGGCCTCTGGTCAATCTTGAAGAACTTAGGGAATTACAGTACTCTAAGTCATTAAGGAATGAGTGGATTGAGCAGATTAGTTGCCACATTTTTTTAAGTTCAGGAAATGTTATAACTCTATATATGGGAAACAGGTGCAAGTTCATAAGGTTCGTCGTGGGTTTAAGAAAGGAATATAAAAGACAGGAGTTCAACGAAAGGAAAAGACCAAGAGATGTGGAAGAGAACTAATGAACCGAGAGCAGCGAAGGAAGAAAGTAATATGCTCCCAGTAAGAAACAAAACATATTTCTAAAACTATGTGTTATTGACTAGAGTATTAAACAGCAGTTTGTCGTGTTTACATTGCTATTAGTCAAAAACCGATAGGTACAACCTAAATAAAGTTGATGAAGATAAAGAAGGGAAAACGAAGTGCGAGTCCACCAAGATCGTAACAGTGCGCATGACATCTGGACGCCTACCTGGCATATCACTACTGTTAATAAAAAACTATCAAGTTGTCACGGACTATCTCTCTCACAGTTACAAAAATATTTGTTAATTGGTTTAATATAATAACCATAATAGTTATAATAAATATCGATTATTATAAGGTACAGATCAAGTAAAAATAATAAAAAACTCGCCACCTTATAAGACTTCTGGCTATAGATCTGGGCCTTGTCATCCTAATGGAAAATTAACCACTGCCCGATTAAGAAGCGTGCGGTTTTCTTTTGATCAATCTTCAAGACGATAAAATAAACAGTTCAGGAAATAAATTGATTTGGGAAATATATATATATATATGCAGCTAGAAATACGCCCCCCCCCCCAGTGGCACAGCGGAATGTCTGCGGACTTACAAAATTTGAAACCGGGTTTCGATACCCGTGGTGGGTAGAGCACAGATAGCCCATTGTATAGCTTTATGCTTAACTAGAAACAAACAAATAAAGGTAATCATTAGAAAAAGAATATTTTTACATCATAAGGCATCGATATTCTTAAACTATCTTTAAAATTCCTTTGCCTAGTGTTTTTCTGTTTCAGACTATTTGTGCAAAGCTGCTCGAGGGTTTATCCGCGCTGTGTCCACCGCGGAGAACGCAACCTCTAGTTTTACTGTTGTAAGTTTGGAACTTACTGCTGACCCATCGGGGGACTAGTAAAAAAAAATCCAACGGCTAAGCAGTGTCTACCGACAACTGTTGGGTCAATTTTATAGCATATCCATTATTCGAAAGTGAAAAGCAGAACGAACCACGAACTTGAACCCTTGGATTCATAGTCCGAGCACTCTAACTACTGTGCGACGCCCACCTTTCAAGCATAGAAGATATAGACACCATTAGTGAAGATAACGGGGGTAAAGGGTATATATCTGTACATTGTGCTCTATTTTGATAAAATGTTAAAGTTTGTTACTTCAACGAGCCTTTCAAAGCAGTTTACTTACTGTGAAAATGCTACGCTTATCAACAGACGTACATGACCAAAGAACACGTCAGCTATTTATTTTACGTATTTCTAGCTTTTTTGTTTGTTTGTCGTTAATCACATAGCTACGCAATGGGCTATCTGTGTTATGCCCACCACGGGTATCGAAACCCGGTTTCTAGCGTTGTAAGTCCGCAGACATATTCCGCTGTGCCACTGGAGAGCAATTTCCTTTAATAAGATACTATTATAAAAAGTAATAGATCTGTAACACGCTTCCTGGAAATGGGTAAAAGATGTTAACAACTTACAAAAAGCAATATAAGTATCAAAAATATAAACTCTTACGATGAAATACTGTTTCCACTCTTCCGTCACTGACATATCTATCCAAACAGAAAACACACGAGCTAAGTAGAAAGTAGCCCCCTGGTTTTAATATACCACGAATTATCTTCAGAAATTGTCTAAAATCTTTGAAATAATGATGAGAAAAGAAATCGAAAACTTTGTCAAACGTTTTGCTTTATTGTGGAGGAGTACTACCCCCCCAAAAACAAATTAAAATGCATCAAAGTATATTAACTAGATATCTATAATAAAAACAGGATAATTCAAATACCATTATTAATTTTGAATGTTAACAACTTATAAAAAACAATATAAATATGGGAAATATAAACTTACGATGAAATACTCTTTCCACTCTTCCGTCTTTGACATCTCTAACCAAGTAGAAAAATGAGGAGCTGAGGCTAAACCGAGAGAGAGAAAGTAGCCCCCTGGTTTTAGTACTCCACGAAGTATCTTCATAAATTTTATAAAGTCTTTGACATAATGAAAAGAAAAGAAAGCGAAGACTTTGTCAAACATTTTGCCCCATTGCGGCGGAGTACTGAAACAACAACAACAACAAAAAAGATGTATTAGATTTTTCAAAATATATTAACTAAATTTTAGTTATAAATACAGCATATTTTAAGTACCACTATTAGTGTTATTAATTAACAACCCAATGTACAGTATATATATATATATACTAACAAAAACAATTTTCTAAACTTGTCATATCCAAAAAATATGTTGAATTGTTTTTGATATTAGTACAACGCTAAACAAGGGCTGTCTACTCTAGTCGTCCCTAATTTTCCCATGTTTACCACTATAATTTGTTCAACACTACGAAAATTGCTGTAAGTTTCGTATTATAAATAACAAGAAAGTAATATGTAAAATTTTACTGAAAAGAAGGTTGTCTCGCTTCATCGATTTGGTGTTGAAATAACGATAATATTTTTCTTTTGGAATATATAAAAAAAAAAAACATTCTTCAGAACCTCATTCAAGCAGCCCGTGCACATGTGTCTGTTTTTGCGGATGGTATAAAACTTGACAATTTATCTGGTGCACGTCTTCTAATCAAGAACGTATTAACAAACCAGAACGTCTTCATTAGTGTTTCGGAATTAAAATATTATCAGAATACGATGTTAACCACATCTCTAGCTTTTTTGGTGAAACACGAAGCAGTCCTTATTTATATATGAGGGCACCTTCATGAACTGTGGTGAGGGTAAGATAGTGGGATAGATCATCCGGTTATATACCCTGACCTTCAAGGGAAAATAATCATGTAATTAATTTGACTGTTTTGTTCGTCCTCAAGAACAGTCATGTACGTTAAGTATTATTACAAAAGCTATTTTACAACGTTTGTTCTAAAATACATTTCAATCTAGAACTACAAGGCTGGAGTTATTAAGTTTCCAACATTAATCTATGTACTTTAATTGGGTTTATTTTCGTTTCTGATAAGTTTATCTAATTATCGCTTACGAGTAATGAATGTTAACACTATATCATTCACAGATATACACCTTAGTGTACATTAGTCTTCGGATTATTAATGTTTAAAATATGTAACGTAACTTTGTACCAAAAACTTTCATACTGTTTGTTAGATATCTTGTGGTTCAGGCTTCTTTTGCAGTATTTAAATCAATTAACATGGTGATTATTTAAAGGCAGTCCAGTTTCACAGTTTGACCTATATCGGTAGATAAGTCAACGCTGTCATTTATCAGTGTATAAATTACTTTATTTGATTACTCGTAGTCATGTTTCGTTTCCACTATTTTTCTTCTTGTTGTTGTTACTGGGTGCATTGCACAAGCTTCTAATAATTTACATATATAAGATAATTGATACCCTTGTTAATTTTCTTTCCCTGTCTAGTTTACTTCAGAAGACAGCTTGTGGTTGAGGTTTCTTTTGCACTTTATGTTAACATTTCTGGTTTTCTTTGGATTTTTGTCAATTTATTTATGTTAAATAACATAACTTCTGTTTTAAAAGTAAGTTTGTTTTCTAATAATCTCGACTTTCATCTTTATTTATTCATTTAAATGTAGGAACCCAATTTATTTTACATCTGTGAGACTGCGAGTCCATGAAATACTCACTACAATTTGTAGGAAGTTTTTTTTTGTTTTTGTTTTTTACTCTCCATCTTTCCTCGTCAGTCCCTTTGTTATTAAATATATACAGAAAATCTCTCTTTTCGGATTGTGGGGTTCCATAATTAATTATTGCTACTTTCTTTAAATTATGTTTAGGTTCCCAAAACCTTTTCATTTCACCACATAATGATAGAAAACAATTATATTTTCTATCTGTGCTAACAGTCAACAGCTAATCATAATGTTTCAACAGGAAATTGTTCATGTAAGACAGTAACGTCAAGCATGCTGAAAATCTTGGTGAAAAATTATATTATACAATATGTTATTTTAATATTCCCTCAAGTTTCTTATAATAAGTAAAGTTCGAAAATGTCACAGAATTACAATGTTATATTTTAAACTTACTCTTCAATAACACTCTCGCATCTATACTAACTACACATACACATACATATATATATATATATATATATAAGACAATTTTCACATTACTTTTCTGTTATATCCAAAATCATGTACTCTATTCTTTCATGGCCGAATGTTTCCTTGGCGAAATTCACAAGGTCTGGCTGAATATCAACGGCAATAATCTTGGTCAAGTTTGGACAGTGTGATAAAAGTATGTTTTTAGTAACGTCGCCTGGACCACATCCAAAGTCTAAGACAACATCCCATTCAGACCCAGTCATTTTCGAGACATAATGAGATAGTCTTGATTCCATCCACTCATATTCTCCTTTTGATCTATTCAAATAATACTGGGCTGGTTTCGGGTTCATTCTAAAAAAATAAAGTTCCGTAGTATCAATATAGATGTTTTGTAGGTTAGCGATATCATATGTCTTACTAGTAATAAAAATAACAAATAACACACAACGTTAAAATAGGTAGATAATTAAAAACATTTTAATTAAGGTCAATATACGACCACTAAAAAGTTGACTCTACATGTTAGACGTTACAACGTTATCTTCAGGAGTGAGTTGCAAGACACAATCGTGTCTTATACACTTTTTTTTTTATTGTTGTTAAATAGGTCATATGACATATGTACAGGTTTACAATTCCCGCGTGAACGTTTTAGAGAATGTCTCCCCACATTTTTATATAAATATTCGTCGGACCTTCATCTCTGTTTAATAATACATGATCTTTTTTATATTTAATTATTTATAAAAATCATCGAATATTATTGGCTCTAATTCCTTTTGGTTGAATTAATATTACAGATTTTTCCCACAATACTTTATGTTGTGTTTCATGTACATGCTCTGCTATGGCTGAATTTTCATTTTTTTATTTCTTAGACATCCTTTATGGTCTATTAAACGATATTTTATATTACGTTTAGTCTGTCCAATATTTCCACATTCACATTCAATTTTATAGATTCCTGTTGTTGTTTTTTTATTAACTGTGTGTTATCTTTGGTATTACCTAAATTTTGCTTTATCTTATTAATTGAATCGGTTTATATATAGGATAAAATATTTGTTGTTTTCTAAACACTTTGAATAAATTATTAGTTAAACCTGGAATATATGGCAAAATTAAAGCTTCCTTTTAATTTTTTTTTCATAACTGGGTTTTAAAGAAATACTTTGATCAGTCATTACCACATTAGTGAATCTGTTGACAGCTGAAACGTTCACGCGGGAATTGTAAACCTGTACATATATCATTTAACCTATTTAACAAAAAAAAAGTATATATAAAGCACGATTATGTCTTGCAACTCACTCCTGGAGATGACATTGCAAAGTCGAAACATGTTGAGTTAACGTTTTGATGGTCGTATATCGACCTTCATTAAAACGTTTTTAATTGTATACCTATTTTAACGTTGTGTGTTATTTATTATTTTTAACATTATACAAAAGTGCCAAGAAATAATACTCATGTCTTACTAATGTCATATCAACGAAAACAATACTGCACTTTAAAGTTTTTCTGTAAACTTTTAGCTGACATTATAAAAACGCTTTCACAAAATAAATTGTATATTTCACTCCTCATGCTCATTGAACATATAAATCGGCATCGTAAAAAAACAAGTTTAAAAAGCGGTATAGTAAGCCCAGAGAGAAATGGAATGGATGTACGATAATCTTACGGTCGATAAAGTATAATATTGTTGCGTCATCGAGATCATGTGATTCTCACGCTCTCTCCTTTCTTGAATTATCCTGTACTTTGGCGAATGTTCTAGTTCTTACTAGATATAGGTTAGGCGGATATATATAAGAGGGGAATGTAACGTGTCTGGATAGATAGTGAGTAATTGAACTGCAGTCACACGGTATTGTTGAAGTTAACGTTCGTTCGTTACAGTGTTGTTTTAGCGCGAGTATTGAGATTAAGTGTATCGCAGAGTTATATTCGGAAAGAATAAATCAGTTTTATTAAAAAAGGACTTGTGTCGCTTAAGTTTCGTCGGAACGAAGTTACGGAAAGTTAATTAACAAACGGAGACGTAACAATATTATCAAATATAAAATATACTTATATCCATTTTAAAATTACTTCCCTATAGGTTTGGTGCTTTTTTTTTTTTTTGTAGAATATGATTAGTCTATGAATGAAATATACTTTAAAATAAGTTTATTTTTCAATACAATTTAGCATCTTATACTTCAAAATTATTTTACTAGTTTGAATCCCAAAGTACATGAAATTTAGATAAGCCTTTCATAATATTTACAATACGTTTATGTATTTCAACATTAAGCATTCTTGGTTTCATAAATATTGCAAGAAAATTGATTTAATTGCGACTCTAGGTGAGTAAATATTAACAAAACTTTTGGCAAATAAGTGAAAAACAATGATTATCTAGACTAGTCTTTAAAAATTGCGGTTTAAACGTCGAAATATTGGGAATGACCTTTCTGTTTGGAACTAGAACTTTCCTCAATTAGGCTGGACGATGAGAATTCTTGAGAATAATAAAAGGTTTATGAAACACTATTTATATATGTTGATAAAAGTTGCGATTTAAAGCCAAAACCCGGAAAACTATTGCAAAACCAATAAGCCTTACAGTTTTAAAAAATGTTGTTAGCTACAGGTGTTTTACAGTAGATATAATCTTCCTACTTTCTTTTTAGGCCTGGCATGGCTAGGTGCTTAAGGTGCTCGACTCACAATCTGAGGGTCTCGGGTTCGAATCCCCGTTCCACTAAACATGCTTGCCCTTTCAGCCGTGGGGGCGTTATAAAGTTACGGTCAATCCCACTATTCGTTGGTAAAAGAGTAGCCCAAGAGTTGGCGGGCGGTGGGTGGCGATGTTATCTCTCTAGTCTTTCACTGCTGAATTAGGGACGATAGCGAAGACAGCCCTCTTGTAGCTTTACGCGAAATTCAAAACAAACCAAACCAAACTCTCAACGTTCTACCTAGGCCACCGCTGGACATATTTGGCAGAATTCATAAATTAAATGGTGGTCATTATGTGGCTTCTATCCCATGATCCAACGTGATCGGTCCTAGTTTGAAAAAACGTCCAATGAATGGTATAAATTCTGTGAATTTGTTCCGCAAGTCAATGCAACGGAATGTATCAAAGTTTAATCAGGATCGTGAAGTTAGAATGAGTTTAGCTTGCGCAGAAAATAATATTTAATTAGTCATGTTCTTGTGCTATGTTCCCAATTTTCATCATAAGCGGCTGTAGCCAAAATACAATAAGAAGAGACAAAGCGAAATTGTAACCGACTGCGAAAATTGATAACCCCAATTCCACAAATTTAAAGCGAAAATGGCAACACTTAGTGTAATCTTAAATTAAATACGAGTTCCTCAAACTAACTAACCTTGTATAAAAGATTAATTACTACCTACTTTAAAGCTTTACTGTTTGATACATTTCATCCACGCTCAAGAAACACGAATAACTTAAACACAAGACCACGAGCTTAAATCTCTGCGACCTTTCGAACAGTTAATTGCACAACACTGTTACACAAAACTAGAAGACCCAGCCAATCAAAAATCATCTTTTTTTAATGTTCTTCTACCTGTACTGTCGTTATGAGAACACAGGTACGCTTATAAGTGTACTTTTTCAAAAATATGAATCAGTAGAAACTTTTATCAACAGATCCCACTAGCTGTTGAATATAGATTAATATCCATAAACATTCTCATGGACTAACTGGTATACTGTAAAAAGTGTGTTAGTTAATAAATATTAATAATCGTGTTACCCTGAGAGAACAATATACTTACTACATCATGATGCTTGTTTTTCTACTATTTGCATGATTAGTAGGCTATATAAACACTTAAATCTAATTTCTACTTGTGAGCTTTTACTTCTTTTTGCGAGATGCTAATCAGCTTATACCCTTTGTTTCAGTTGCTTACCTGAAGTAACTTAATATCTGAAAGGTTTTAGGGACGTATTTTGTTAAATTCTGTGCTAGGTTGCTTGAATGTGTTATCAGTTGTACAGAAAAAGGCTTCTTATTTATTTATATCGTGCGTGGAACATATCGCAGTACCCCAGTGTTACCAATTTTATTATATTCTCTAACCTGATGGACTATTGCAGGTAGATAGATATTATAGTTTTGTTTATCTCTCATGGACCTGAATTGTGAATTTTTTGTTGTTGTTGTTTATTCAGTATACTGGAGACAATATTTACGTGAGATGTTTTAAATGATGGGTCTTTAGATGATTTTGTGCTATCGTATTGGGTTGTGGTTTCTAAATACTGTTTGGAATTTATGTCGTTTACACATCTTCTGTACATTTTCAGAAAGACTTTTGATATGCTCTGTCTGTAAATTTCTTCTTGCTTATCCTTCTTTTTTTTTCTTTATTAATGTGTATTAATTATTAATGTTTTTAACTGATGAGCTACCCAACTTTTTAAATCTGCCTGGTAGTCTACAAATCACACATTCTCATGCTACCAAATCCCATATGAGTGACAGAAGTCCACGACATGTTGTAGGTAGAAGAATGCAAAACAGTACCTGTTACTTTCTAGTCGACGTTCGAAATTTGTATTTTAAACCATGTATGAGCTATTAGTATCAATATCTACAATACTGGCCAGGCTTTTCTAGACATGCATGTTTAACAAAAACAACAAAACGCAAATTAAAAATATCTATACTATTGTAATGTAATAGAGGAGGCAATCTTTTCTTTTTACTCTCATTTCATTCCAGCCCACAGGGCTTGCGGACTAGCAGAGGTTTACGCTCTCTCTTTGGTCATGAGTTAAAACTTCAGAGTACAGTAGTTATGGATAATGGATGAATAGGAGTATATTTCATTGTACTGAAAACAATTCTAAAATGGAAAGCTATAGATATAAATTATATTCATCAAGTGTTCAAAACATTTTTTTTTTTCAGTTGTGAATGGAAGTGAGGTATGAGGAAAGAAAAATACCTTCATGCAGGATAAATATCTAGGAGCAGGCTTTTCATACGGGAAGCAACTTGTCCTGGTTCTTTCTCTGGAAGGAATATCTCGTACATCGGCAAGAGTAGCACTGTGATTCTGGAAGCAGCACGTGACATAACTGATACAAATATTCTGAAGATGAGTAAGAATGTTGGGAAATGTGATGTGATCATAAAACTCCTTAATTAGAATGAGAAGCTTTATTCTGAAGGTCAGATAAAGGTCATATACTTTCTAGCACCATAAGTATTTTATAAAATGAAGAGAGGTATGACCATAGGTAATGCAAGATCAAATGAAAGCCTTATAAGAATAGAGAAGAGATGGATTCAGACCTCAAGTGGTTCCAGTTAAAAACTGCAGAAGGTTGAGTCACTATGTGACCCTGATGTTGACTGTTGCAAGGTGGGTCTTCCATGTAAGATGCTTATTAAAGATGACACACAAATAGTTAACTGAATTAGATAGTTGTAAGGGAACATGTTATATGTGAACATTAAATAGATTAGGATTTCGGCATGGGAGATATTTCCTTTTGCTTGGATCAAACAGAATAGCTATGGTCTTATTGGTATTGATTGT